ACTGAGTAACTTTCTTCTCTTCTTCATTGACATTCTTGAACCTTCATGTAACAAAAACCTCCCATTTCAAAGAAACAAAAACAACTTTCCAGTTGAGGCCCATATTGACATGGCCTCACCACTAAATGTTGTAAAGCTTTTTTTTTTAATTTTATCACATATTTGTTTAACTAAAGTATAAATACAACCATCCTGCTGTAGAAAATATTAATCATCCCTTGTAAGCCCCCTTCAGTGGCTGCTTCTGTGTTCTAGCCATTGTTGTTGTTTTTTTCTTTTTTCTTTTCAACATCCCTCTCCCATCTTGCAACATCCATCTCCCATCTTTAGTACATTCTTATTCCTTCAACATTCTAAGGCTTGTGTTAAGGCATACAATTCACATGTTTGGGCTGACCACTTTAATGGCAGTCTCCCTGCTTAATGCATGCAATTCACAAGTATGTGCAAACCAACTTAAAACAACTTTCCTGTTTCTTTCTTTTATTACCAATTCCTTCCTTCCCTTCTGCCACTCTAGCATAACTTTTCTTCTTCCGCCAGTATTCAAGACTTCATAAACATACTTGGAGTGAGTGCATTGTCACATCTCTTTCATCTTAATGGTGTTCTCTGAAGTTGTACTTTGTTAACCTGACCTCTTCCGTCCATCTGCTGTTATCTTGTTTATTTGGAATTCTCACTTTGGGTTAAAATCCCCTTCTTTGATAGTGATTTCTACTCAAAGTGTAAGTTCCTGTGTCTGGAGGAATTTTAGGCAGGAAATAGTAAACATTTGGTCATATATTATAATAATAATAATAGTAAAGTTGGAAGGGACCTTGGAGGTCATCTAGTCCAACCCCCTGCTCGGGCAGGAAACCCTACACCATTTCGGACAAATGGCTGTCCAGTCTCTTCTTAAAAACTTCCAGTGTTGGAGCATTTACTGCTTCTGGAGGCAAGCTGTTCCACTGATTAATTGTTCTCACTGTCAGGAAGTTTCTCCTTAGTTCTAGGTTGCTTCTCTCCTTGATTAGTTTCCACCCGTTGCTTCTTGTCCTGCCTTCAGGTGCTTTGGAAAATAGCTTAATTCCCTCTTCTTTATGGCAGCCCCTGAGATACAGTGTTACATTTGTACTAAAGAGACAGTTTCATATATTGGCACTACATTTCTACAATTATTTTTCTATAATTTTATAAAAGAATAACTTTTATTTCCTTCAGGGGGTTGGATTAGAGGACCTCCAATGTCCCTTCCAACTCTGTTATTTAGTCATTCCCTATTTTCCAACTTCATGTTTGTATTCCATCACAATATGTGATATTCTGTAATATTTCATCAATATGGAATTTTAAAGTATAGTGTTGTAATAATTTAGTCCTCTTTGAGAATGCCTGTAAGTTTGCAAGGGAAACAGTCTTGTGCTAACCTGTTCAGGTTTTTAAGGTTCTGTATTACCTCCAGCCCTAATGAATAGTGATGTAAAGATTCTGAGATAAATTTTTAATGGCTTTGAAGCTGTATTCAACATTGTGATATACAGCTACATTGGGGGGGGGGGGTAGGGAGGGAATTTAGCATAATCATGATATGGATATAAATGAAATGATATGAATGAATTGAGTTTCTCTTCATTACTAATTTGGAACAGATGTAACTAGATTCAGCACAAGAAAAACTTTTGAATACATTTTTCCTTATCTTTCAATATTCCCTAAATCATCATAGTCTTAGTGTTTAATTATTACTGGACAAATACTACCATAATCAAAATATAATTGTTCTGCCCAGACGGAACTCGTGGCTCTGATTCCAATCTAAACAGTCAGATAACTCGATAGAAATGAATTAAAACAAATATTTATTGTCCAGGAATTCTAAGCAGAGACTTACTATGCTGTAGATGCATCTGGTTTTCCATATTTGTTCATTCCTATAGATAATTTAATATTGAATTTTCCCCTCTTCTTCTGCTGAAAGTCACATGTGGCTGGATGAATAAAGGCTTGCATCTGGCTTGTGTCCAGGAAGTCTCCCAATGACCCTTTTTGACTCCTCCCACTGACCCATCAACATACCCAGCATTTAACCCAATAACTGCCAGACATTCTAACATACTAACACATGCTCCCTAGTTAGAGTTACGTAGATCTATGCTAAGTCCAGAACAATAATGTATTAGTTGCATCTCATAATAGTACAAGAAAACATAAAAAAAGAAAAAGATCTGAATGTCTAGGTTAGGGACAGATCATTATGGAAAAGATCTATTGCCCATGTAATCAAAGTAAATTAATTGAAACACTGTTGTTGATTAATGTAGAAGGGCAAACTAGTGGCATGGGAGAGCTTCATATAGCTGTGGAGTTTAATGCACACTGACCTAGGTTAAACGTTCTTTATCTACAATCCTATTCCAAAATTTGGAAACTAATAGAAGAATTTATTAGCAACAAAAAATGATGGGTAATAAATTAGATATATTATTTGTTGAATTTTCATTCAACATGCAGTGGACATAACGCCTTTCTCCATTTTTTCTCATTTATCTTACCAGTTACTAAAATGGATTGTACTTAATGGCTGTATAAATTTACCTGACTTTTTGGTGGCAACAACAGCCCTCTGTAATGTCCTCCTTATAGAAATTAAGTTAGGTCCTTGTGTTAGCTTTCTTCTGAATGTAACAGAAAATGGAGTTCTTTGAGAGGGCATTTTGGGTGTGACAGTATCTTGAGTGAGGCATATAAACTCATAGCTGATGCTTTATGCTGTATCATATATATTGGGGTTTCATTATGATATATATGTCGTGACTATGTTAATAGTTATTGTAACTTCTGTGAACCACCAGGATTGCTGTGCAATAGAAATATTTATTTTTCTTCTGTTCAATCATATCTGTTAGAAACTTCCTGGAATAATATTTTTCAGAAATGGTTTGCACTTGCTTCTTCCTAGGGCTGAGAGAAAGTGACTGGCCCAAGGTCACCCAGCTAGCTTTGTGCCTAAGGTGGGACTAGAATCAGCCTCCTAGTTTCTATCCTGATTCCTTAACCACTACACCAAACTGGTTTGCAGTAGTAGCAAATATCTCCAGCTCGGGTATAGGATGAGGTTCTTTAGTTTGTAATAATAGAAATAAACATAAATGATAAAGTCGACATGACTCATAGCTATAGAGAGACAGAGTCCTGATAAGACTTGTAGGCATCAATAGTTACATTCCACTTGTCCATGAAGATCACTATGGTTACTCTTGATCAATTTACTTCTGACAATGAGAATAAAACAGCCATCTAAACACTATCCTTAAAGAACAGATGGGATATACACAAGAAATATTTTTAATTTAAAACATGAATGATGGACAAAAAAGAAAGCATAAATGTTTTCCATAAAAATATTACAGCTGCATATCTTTTCGACACAAGCAGTATATATATTTCAATGGTCATTGACGTAAAAATCTAATTCAAAAGCCCAAAGTTCTTTTGAACATGAAATGTATCTTGTATGAAGTTTAGGCAATCCATTTTGGAATAAAGGTTGCAATAATATTTCTCGATACCTTTTTTGTAAAGAGAATCCTGCAAGGAATAAAAATTAAATATGTATGCAGGCATAAAGGCTAAACAGAATTGGTTCAATCATAAAAGTACAGTGAATGGATAAATGTAGGAATAATTCTGGAGATTCAGTATAACATTTGCTGCAGTTCATAATGCACATCATAATTAAGATCTTCATTGACTGCCATAAGTATATATTGTCATCTAACACTTTACCTTCTGCCTGGTGATGATCTGGACTGTTGTGATATCCATCATATTCTTATGCTAGAAATAAATCTTTCTGGTAAATGAGACATGTGCACTAGTAATAGATATATGTTAGTATTAAGCTGAATTCTTTATATCTTACCAACATTTTACATGATGAAATATAAAGATGTCATTGCCGATGTTTGATATACCATGTTTTCAGAATGTTACTATTTTTTACAGTGTTTCTATATCTGTCACAGAAACTTTGAGGCCACAAGTCTTTTGCAAAGTCATGATTTAGAATCTTGGAAAAATAAAACTGGATTATAAAACATGGGAGCAGATTTAAATTATTTCCTCATAGTAATTTATGAGCAAGATTGGATTCCTATGACATGCTGAAATGCAAATGACACAACTCCATTTTGATCTAATTGAACTTATTGTGCAAATCAAGCCAGCTTGTTATATTTGTCATCCCTGCCATCATTATAGCAATACATCATATTGATAGGCTTTATACAACATTATAAAACATTATGATATCACTATCAAATGCCTTTTCAGTTATGAAACTGAGTATTTTTTGTGTGTCTAAAAGTAGTTCAGAGAGTTGGGTATCCCCAGGGATAATAATTGTTTTTCAAAAAGTTGCAACCCAGAAAAACCACTAACTTTCCTTCATTAACATCAATCTTTTCTCTTAACTCAGTAGTTCCAAATTGTTTTCAAAGCATGAAAACTCTGTAAAACAGCTCAAGACAAACAAAACTTTTAATTTGAAATCATTCTGTCTTTGAAAATTAGCCTCATTTTGCATATTGAAATACAATTATTAGGCTCAGTTCATGAAGTAATATTTATGGTTAAGTCACTTTGGAGAAACCTGACTAATTGATGTTGTATCCTTCATTAACTTGAAAGATGTTGGTAAATTCTCTTGATATTTTAATGAGCAATTGCTATTTCATTTCCTCAAAGCATTATTGACTTAATTTTTCTTTCTGTTGTTAGATATCACTTTGTTTTCTTGTGTTCTCAGATATTTTTTTTAAAGGTTTCCAGTGGTTTATTTTAACCCTATCTCATTATGGGTAACTCTTTGTACTGTTACACACTTACCTCAGTTCTCGACTTTTACTGCTTCATATATGTTTTTTTCAAAATGTCAATAAATCATAACAAAATCTTACTTATTTTCTTTCATTATTCTGCTTTGCTTCCACTGATGACTCTTAACTTCCTTGCAGAGTGGCAGTATGAGGGTAAGAAGGCTAACTGTGAAACTTCCTGAAAATTGCTTATCTGTTTTTCACTGTGGCTCTGTTTAAAACTTTGTTGAAATTCTATTCACTCTAATTAGAGACTTGTGTTGCAATTAAATTTCAATTATGTGTCTTTCTCTTGTGAAGTTTTAATTATGATTTATTTCTATAATGTTTTTTTCTGTTTTTATTGTGGTTTAAATTACCATCACATCATACTGTATCTGTCTAGAAAAACCCTCTGTTCCTCAGTAGTTTCTGTTTAGCATAAGACATGATTAAAAACAAAATAATTATTTTTATTGTGTTGTTATATGATAAAGACCTGGTGTTTGCGGATATGATCCAAATATATGAAATTTAAGAAGCAAATATTAGCAAAACAAGGCACATTAGATATAAAGAAAAATATATTCCTGGTTAAAGGTTATATGTAGTCATAATTAAGAGTCAGGCAAAATCTGGCTTTACATTATGGAAGTTGATAGCACCTAGCACAGATTGTTTTATAACTATATTCACAATATTTGTTAAATTGATTACCAACAAATTTTGTTTTATATGCCAAAATTTATGGCATATAGAATAACTTTTATTTTTATATTTATAGACTGCAAGTTGGCCAGGGCAGGACCTCCAGCAACAATAGTTCCAATTGATGAAGAAAGTCGGAATGGTGAGTATTTATCTAAACTATGAAATTATTTCTTATGACACCATCAATAATATATACATTAACAAGAAAATGGCTTTATATTCTATTTAGAAAGTGCATTTTGCCTATGCTTTATTGAGTTCAGTAATTTACATGCTTTTCAGTGGTAAATATTCCTAAAGTATTTTTCCTTTCATTTCTTGGAAAATAACCAACATTTTTAATTCTCCCAAGTAAGGCAAGGAAATAAGGGGAGGGATGGCCCATAATATTTGTCATGGATCCACCTTCAGACCCCTCTCCGATGCAGGTTCAGAGAAGGAGAGTGAGTTTGAATCTGCAGAAGAAAGCATGGAACCAAGTATTGGTCAGGATTGGGTCTCAGAGAAGGCTAGCCTGATGGAGCAGCCTCAGCGTGGTTAATCAGAGGAGAGGCTGAGAGAGGCAAGCTGCAGCTGCAGCAAGTTGGCCAGGAGGCTCCAGGCAAGGACTGGGAGCAGCTGCCGCCCCTTAGCAATGAGGAGGAGGTGGAGTCCACACCTCCTCCTTATCTAAGGACATGTAGAACAGAAAGGAGACAGGCACAATGCTGGTCAGCTAGACTAGAGGCCCCCAACTTTTGGGCACCAGGGACCAATTTTTCCACAGACCAGAGGGGGCATGGTTTCGTGTGCTGACTGCATCCTGCAGATGGGGCTTTGCTTGTTTGTTCAGACCGGTTTCTGGCATGCTGCAGACTGGTGCTGGTCAACAGACTAGGGGTTGGGGACCCCTGAGCTTGACTACTCATAAGGAGGCAACCTCGCCTTTCATGAATGACTGTTCCTGCATTGCCTACTTAACCCCGCCCTGAGGACTTGAGTGTTGCTGGAGCAACTTGCCCAGGTCTGTGCCTTATGTACTTGTGCCATGTATCCTGGCTTGTTTGACTCTTGGACTGCTTTCCTGGACTTTGTCTGTGCCCATTGGACTCAATTACCCAGTTACTCTTGCTCTACTGAGCTGGGAATCTGGACCCGCTCAACTGGGGTGCTTTCTGAGGACCTGTTTGGGAGCTTTGAATAAATACCTTTAGAACTTTTGCCATACATGTGTGAGGGGGGAAGATTGAGGCAGCAATGTATATGAAGTTGCATATGCTTCTATTATGACATTTGATAATTTGTAGACTTTGAGAGATATCACTAGGGAAGGCATCCAGGAAGTAATGCAGCACACTGTTGTTTGGAAAAGTTATTCTTCAGTTCTAAATATTTTCAATAGTAAAGGTTTTCTCAACAATTAGTTACATTTACATTGACAGATTTAATTCTATTTTTCCCATATAAGCCATCTCAGAATTTTACATTTCTTAAGGAATAGATAAAAGAGTAAAAAGAGAGAAGAAAAAAAGAAAAACAAAGAAAAAAGAAAAAAGAAGGAAAAAACAAGAGCAACAAAACATAAGAAATAACATACTACTTAGAATATATATCCCTCCTTGGTTAATATGTATTTATTTCCTCAGATTTTTTATTCTTTTAAACCAACCAGTTAAGAATATATTTGATCTTTAGACATTCCATTCAATAGATCTAGTAATCTAATCCCTTAACTCTGATTCAAAACATTTTTATATACTTTCCTTAAATTCAGTCACATTTAAATATCTAAAACATTTCATCCCTCTTAAAGTGGTATATTCCCAAAATTTTTTTTATTTCTTTAACCATATTCAAACACATGCTTCTTTTTAAAGTATTCTCTCTGACATGTCCCATCATCTATTCTCTTAGTTTCCATCTTAATCTTTTTTTTTTTTTTTTGCCCAGAATCTTTCTTAATCAATGTACTTTGCTGAATCAAAAGGTTTTCCTGTATGATCATAGGGGTTGCTGTAGATACAGAAAGTAAATCAATGTTTTTGTCATGGGCATTTGCCCACTCCTTTTTATTAGGAATCTTTTTCCTTCTTTTTCTCTCCACTTCTTTTGTCACTTTTTGTCTCTCCATCAAGTACTTCCTCTCATCCTCAAGTTTGCTTTGTAGTGTTGAAATATAACTTGGTGGGAGAAACAAACTAAAACAAGGATCGTAACAGGATTGATGATAAGGCAACACAAATGACTGAAAAGAAAAGAAATATTATACTAATATGATTATTTTTTAGGAATATTGGAAAAATTATATACTTAATTGTCATTTATTAAAACAATAAGAATTGTATTAATGTTTGCAAAAAAGGATGTTCTGGGGAAAGAGGAAATCAATTAAAATTAATATATGGAATACAGATTATAGAAATGAATTGTTAAGGAATGTTTTTACAAATGTAACCCAGACAACACACTGTTTACCAATTATTGAGTGACTTATGCTTGTTAAAAAAAATTAATAAAATATATTTTTAAAAAAAGAAAAGTTATTCTTCAGGTTGAGGTTTCCTGACAAATTAACAAGAGACAAAAAAAGAAGTAAAAATTTAATCTCATTTTGTTCTGAGAATTTCAAGATCCAAAAACTTTGATTCTTCTGTTTGGGGTAAACTATGATCAAAGTTTCTGACAGTATAGCTTTTTAACACATACTGCATGTTTTGTTTTTTCCTGTATCAAACTTCTTGTGATCTTATCCAGTGTTGGGCTTAAAAAGCAGGATAAGAAAAAGTTTTATTGTTGTATTGGTAACTTGCCTTGGGGAAAAAACCTTTATTTTTAAGTCAAAGGAATGTATCAAAAGTTCACCACAGAGACACATTTTTAATTAGGTTGTACTGCAGAACAAATAGTGGAATTATAAATAAACAATTTCACTTTTCATATTCAATAATGATATTTAAAAGATGAACAAGATTTATCATAAGTATTTTCCCCTGATAAACAAAATGTATTAAATCTTTACAGAAATGTTGGTATGTGCATAATATTCCCCTTGCCCATATATAGGGAATATTACATGTTATAGGAACCATCTTCTCCTGCAGTAACTGCCCAGGCAATTCAATCTTGCAAGGTTCATGTGCTCAGGGTTCCTTCAGTAAAACAAGCCACCTGTCAGAACCCCCAAAGTGCTTCTTCCCTTTTGCAGCACCTGCCCTCTGGAATGAGGTTCCCTCCCCCAAGATCTAGACACACACACACACACACACACACAGAAAGGTTGTGAAACCTGGCTCTTCAGCTAGTGTCAGCCCTTGAAAGTAGACCAGATTAGGAAATCAAAGTCATACATTTTAATACTAATTTTATTATAAAGTTACAATAATAGAATTTTGCAAGTCTGAATGTGCTCCCCCTTCTCTCCCTTTAGCTTTATAAAAACTCTGTGGGGGGGTGTTCCAGTCAGAGACAGTTTCTCAAATTACATTTCTGCCCTATACTCCGATTTCTTTTATCTGACTGTTGCCTTGGTTGCAACTCAAGGTTATTCTCACAGCTCACATTACATCCCCTTTGGTGAAGGGAAGCAACATCCTCTTTTTTCATTCCCATCTGGTCTGTTGTTCTCATCATCTTTTATCTTTGTAATTGGTTTTATTGTTTCTCCTTGTTTTAGTTGTCATGAGACACCCAGAGCTGTTGGGAAGTCAGACAGTATAAAATTTGATAACTAAAAACAAAATAGTGTGAATCCAACTGAGCTCAAGAGCTTTCCTTAAGGACTAGCAGAAGAAAAATGGTTCCCTAAGGAAAGTGTTATGGAATCACAGAGGAACAGACCAAGAGTCATATATGGAGGGTACTTCCGTGTATTGGAAATACATAATTGTTTTTGTCTTTGTGGGATTTTTCTGACTACTTGTGATTTCAGGAGAGAGTCTTCTTAAATTCAGGGTCTGCTACCTTTTACTTGTTCTGTGTATTTCCAGTAATAAACCTTTCTTTTTTCAATTCTAAATTAATAAAACATGTGCTGAACACTTATCAAGCAGTATATTTTTAGAGATTTCTTCTCTAAAATCCCCTAAATCATTTGTTCTCAGTCCTGCTTCAGCAACAGTGCTTCAATCCACCCAGGACATTCAAGTAATAAACCAAAGGATAATCAAATATATTATGTACAGATATTTAATTATTTAAAATAGATTTCTTCCTAAGTTAGATGGAGTGACATCCATCACAGCATAAAATTCTTTTGATTTCAGTGAAAAGGAAACATTATTGCAATTATCCCACAGGGTTCTTACAATATTAAGCCATCTGTTGGTTTAAACACTTTTAAAATTTAGGGCTATTCAATGAGTAGGTTTTCAGATATACTTTTAAAATAATGAAAGAAAATCAGAACTGTTTAAAGCATTTTTAAATTCTTACAAGCTATTTCATACGGTGCATTTGAAAGCCTTTTGCTACTGCTCTGTATTGATAGTTATAGACAGAAATCCATTATTCATAAATCAGTCAGTTAAAATGACAGGAATTTCTGTAATTAATAGTAAGAATATAAGGAATTCTGAAAACAAATAAATGTTTTTATGGAAGTGTACAATAGGATGTTTTCTTATTAAGTCAGATATTTCAGGACTCTGATATTTCAGAAGGAGGAAATAATTGAGAAAAAAGTCTGCATCACTGTAGGAATCATTCAAATAGAAAGAAAATGTAAAATGAAAGATTTGGGCTTTAAGCAGAATATATTCTTGCTTTTTTAAAATTAAAGTAGAATGAAATTCTCTTGCATAATAAACTTTCCAGCTCTTCCAACTTTGGAGTAGACATTGACAGAAAGTTGAGAGAAATTCTTCTCCAGAAAAACTATGTTAAAAGGAAGACACCATTTTAATTAGGAAATCAATAACCAGTAGATCAATCAGTTGCCTTGTCCACTCTTGGCTTCCATATCTAGCAATAACACTTAGACTTATATGCCACTTCATAGTGCTTTACAGCCCTCTCTAAGTGGTTTACAGAGTCAGCATATTGTCCCCAACAATCTGGGTCCTCATTTTACTGACCTCAGAAGGATGGAAGGTTGAGTCAACCTTGAGCCAGTCAAGATCAAACTTCTGGTAATGGAATATACAGTTAGCCTGCAATGTTGCA